TGTGTGTGTGTGTACCACATTTTCTTTAGCCATTCCTCTGTTGATGGACATCTGGGCTCTTTCTGTAGTTTGGCTATTGTAGACATTGCTGAAATAAACACTGGGGTGCAGGTGCCCCTTTTGTTCACCATAGTTGTACCTTGCAGTGCAATTGCTGGGTTTATAACCCAGCATCAGGGTAGCTCTATTTTCAGCTTTTTGAGGAATCTCCATACTATGTTCCAGAGTGACTGCACCAGCTTGCATTCCTGACAGCAGTGCAAGAGGGTTCCCCTTTCTCTGCATCCTCGCCAACATCTGTCATTTCCTGACTTGTTAATTTTAACCATTCTGACTGGTGTAAAATGGTATCTCATTGTGGTTTTGATTTGTATTTCCCTGATGCCAAGTAATGTCGAGCACTTTTTCATGTGTTGGCCATTTGAATGTCTTCTTTGCAGAAATGTCTGTTCATATCTTCTGCCAATTTCTTGATTGGATTATTTGTTCTTTGGGTGTTGAGTTTGGTAAATTCTTTATATATTTTGGATACTAGATCTTTATCTGATAAGACATTTGCAAATATCTTCTCCCATTCTATCAGTTGTCTTTTGGTTTTGTCGACTATTTCCTTTGCTGTGCATAAGGGTTTTTTTCCCTTCATGAAGTCCCAATAGTTCATTTTTGCCCTTTCTTCCCTTGCCTTTGGCAATGTTTCTAGGAAGAATTTGCTGCAGTTGAGGTCGAAGAAGTTGCTGCCTGTGTTCTCCTCAAGGATTTTGAAGACTTCCTGTCTCACATTGAGGTCTTTCATCCATTTTGGGTCTGTTTTTGTGTGTGGTATAAGGAAATTGTCCAGTTTCATTCTTCTGAGTGTGGCTGTCCAATTTTCCCAATACCATTTGTTGAAGAGACTTTTTTCCCATTGGACATTGTTTCCTGCTTGGTCCATGATTAGTTGACCATAGAATTGAGGGTCCATTTCTGGGCTCTCTGTTCTGTTCCATTGATGTATGTGTCTGTTTTTACTTCAGTACCACACTGCCTTGATGACTATAGCTTTGTAATAAAGCTTGAAGTCTGGAATTGTGATGCCACGAGCTTTGGTTTTCTTTTTTGCTATTCAGGGTCTTTTCTGGTTCCATACAAATTTTAGGATTATTTGTTCCAGCTCCATGGGAAAAGTTGATGGTATTTTGATAGGGATTGCATTGAATGTATAGATTGCTCTAGGCAGCATAGACATTTTAACAACATTCGTTTTTCCAATCCATAAGCATGGAACATTTTTCTATTTCTGTGTCTTCCTTGATTTCTTTTTTTTTTTTTAAGATTTTATTTATTTGAGAGAGAGAGAGAGCAGGAATGGAAGTGGGGAGGGCAGAGAAAGAGGGTGAAGAAGGCTCCCCACTGAGCAGGGAGTCCAATGCAGGGCTCCATCCCAAGACCCTGAAATCATGACCTGAGGTGAAGGCAGATGCTTAACTGACTGAGCCACCCAGGCACTTCCCTTCCTCAATTTCTTTCATGAGCTTTCTGTAGCTTTTTGACTTCAGGTCCTTTGCCTCTTTGGTTAGGTTTATTCCTAGGTATCTTGTGATTTTTGGTGCAATTGTAAATGGGATCGACTCCTTATTTTCTCTTTCTTCTGTCCCTTTGTTCGTGTGTAGAAATGCAACTGATTTCTGTGCTGGGTTAGATGCTTTAATCCAGACTTTCTTCTAGATATTTTTATGGTTCTGTGTTAAAGTTTAAATCTTTTTTTAAAAAGATTTTATTTACTTATTTTATTTACTTTTATTTACTTATTTATTTATTTACGTATTTAAACCCTAAAGTTTAAATATTTAATTTAGATGGAACTGGTGGATTGTATAAAGGAAGTAATCTAGCCTTATCTTTTTTAAAAATGAATAGAGAAATAGTTAACCTTAAAATCAAGCCAAATAAAAGAAACAAAACTTATCCAAATAAAAACAACGTAACAAAATGCAATACTTAAATATTTAAATAATTTAAATTTGTTCATTATTATTATTATCATTGATAACTACAAAGTACCAATTAGCTAGAATCAATATGCCAGAATCTATTGGTAGGTCAGAATCTGTGTTAAATACCCAAAATGTTAGTACTAATGTCTCCCTTTTGCTGACAAATGATGTGAACCTTGCAATAGGCCACATGATTTGGATAATGCCACACAACCAATAAGTGGTAGAACCAAGGTTAGTTATTAATATCCTAAACTAATTCTGTCTTCTTTTTTTAATAAATGTAATGAGCTCCATTTATGATCCAGCTACAAATAATTATCAAGTTATTCTCCATTTTAGCCTTAACTAGATGTATATAATTTTGGATGTGACTAAATTTAGATCTAATAAAAATTTCTAAACCTCTAAAAGAATAAAATTCCTCATCAATAGTTTTGCTCTGTGAATTACAATAAAAAAAAGAACAGCAATTTTGTTTGGGAATGGAATATTAAAATTTTTAGAATCAAAATCCTCTTAAAAATTATTGTGTTTGAAACACAAAAGTATGAATTATTTGCTAGCTACTATTGGGAATGTACTATTGGGAATAATTAGGAAATTATAGATTGCAAGAAAGGGAGGTAAAAATTATAGAGTAAAACTGGATGTTTAGGACCTGAATTTGGGGAGAGAAAAGAAGAAAATACACTTAAACCTTGGTTCTGCTCTTCTGTGTCTGTTGGTGGGAAGGGCAATACTTATATAGGACAGAATTGTGTTCTTGGGTACCAGGAATCAGCTCTGTTTAGTTCTATTTCAGAATGAAGTCCACATGAGGAGGTACAGGCCAAAGAGCTAAAGAATATTTTAACGCAGTCTCAGAATTCTACTTTTAATGGGGTGCCTGGGTGGCTCAGTCAGTTAAGCATCTGACTCTTGATTCTGGCTCAGGTCATGATCTCAGGGTCATGAAACTGAGCTCCACGTCAGGCTCCGTACTGAGTGTAGGGCCTGCTTAAAATTCTCTCCTCTCTCTACCATTCTCCCTGCTCATGCGCTCTCTCTGTCCCTCTTTCTCTCTAAAAAGAAAAATGCTACTTTTTATTTTTACCAAGATGTATAAGCAGTCTTGGTCTTTCTGTGACTTCCTCTCCACTAACCTAGAGCTTTTAGCTCAGGAATGTAGTAGAGTCGGAAACAGGACAAGAGGAAAGCTGGGGTGAACCTCAGAATGAAGCTGGATAAAGGTTGTTTTAAAAATGTTTTGACATTTGATGCCTCTGTCAAATTCCCAGCCTAGAACCAGTGCTAAAACTATACAGTCCTGCCTAAGTTAGTGAGTGGGTTGGAATTTTAGTCAGTGTACCAACAAAAAGCTACTCAAAGAAATGGTATTATGTTAATTTTTAAATTTAAATTGTATTAAAGTTTCTAAATTTCTAAAACGGATCAGGTCATGTCATTCCAGGACACTAGAGAAATAAAGCTATTATTTTTAGCATTCAGGGTTCAATAAGGAGATATAAACACATAGTAATTTGAATAGGAAAAGTTTAATATAAATAATTAGTAGCAGAGGATTAGAGTGTTGGGAAATTGGCAAGTAAGAGTTAACAAGGACACTGAAAAATATGTGAATAGTAGGTATGGAGCAGCCAGTACTGCTAGGCCTGAGACAGAATGCTCAAAGAAGAGGCCTGACCCAAGGCTGAGATCCAAACCACATCAACAAGGGCACAGCCATGGCTCACTGGATGTTGAAGAAGTTCCTGAGGCAGTTCAACTCACAGGATTTACTATAAACCTGCCTTTGGAGCACCAGGAGAAGATGTCCATGGGGAGGGGCCAAACTGGTGACACTCCACTATAAAGCCACCCACAAGGAACACGCTCAAGGAAACCATTCGTATGAAGGTGCCCTACACCAATACTCCGCTCTGAAGTTCCCTGAGGTGGGTACCTGGTGAAAAACTGTAGATCTGGAGCTGAGAGGGACTACCTCGATAACTCACATGTTCTGTGTTATAGGTTGAATTGTGTCCCCCCTAGAGTACATTGCTGGGTTGTATAGACATGTTCAACTTCAGTAGTTATTGCCAGTTTTCCAAAGTGCCAATCTCCTCATTTTAATGACTAAGAAAACTTATGTAGGTATCACTTTGATATTTATCGCAGCATTACTCACAATAGCCAAGATATGGAATGACCTAAGTGCCAGCTGATGAATGGATAAAGACGATGTGATATATACAATGGAATATTCATCAGCCATAACAGAGAAGGAAATCCTGCCATTTGCTATGACATGGATGGACCTTGAGAGCATTATGCTAAGTGAGATTAGTCAGACAAAAGACAAACACTGCATGATATCACTTATATGTGGAATCTAAAAGAGCTGAACTCATAGAAACAGAGAAAGGAATGTAGGTAATCAGGGGCTAGAGGATGAGAGAATTGAGATATTGTTGACTGGTGTAAATTGGCAACTATTAGATCAATGAGTCCTGGAGACCTAAAGTATAGCATAGTGATTATAGTCAACAATGTATTACATACTCGAAAGTTTTTAAGAGAGTAAATCATAATCTCCACAAAAAAAGACATAATTATATGATGTGGTAGAGGTGTTAGTGAATGCTATGATTTCATATTGTAATAGATAAAGTAACAAAGCAATATGCTGTATGTCTTCAATTTATACAATGTTATATATCAGTTATACCTCAATAAAAAGTAATTTAATTTAATTTAATGTAAAATTAATAGAAAGAAATAAAAAAATGATGCCCTGAAATGTTAGACTGTATCATAGCAATTAATTGGAAAGAATTATTTTTGGCCTTGGAAAACTTGTATTTTAAAGTCAAACAAAACCCCACAGGAAAGTATTGAGTTAAATTAAGTTAAATTTTAAACTTCTGGGCACAGGGATATATTTGTGCAGCAAAAGCATTTCTTGCTCTCAACAATAAGAATACTTGTCAGAATCTAGGAACAGAAAAATATACGACTAAAAGCTATGACTTACAAAGTCCTTACCTTCGAATAAATGCAGCTGTCAGTTCCAAACACCCACTTTTGAGAATTATCTCCTTTATGTCTGTAATGAAAATGTAATTTAGAGACTGACAACTTTTCACCACACTGAAACATTTTCTAGGTTTCAAATGAAAGGATCATTTTCCATATCATGGCAGAAGGAGGACTGCCCAGACTCTCCCAAGGATTCTACCATTCTACCATCATTGCTGCATCAGCAACTGAAGCCTTCCTTCCCTAAGACAACTGATTTCCTTGGTACCCAAAGTGGTGGTGGTGGTGGTGGTATGTGTATTACCCATGACAACAATGATTAGGAGCTTTAGAGATTAAAGAGAATCAATAAAAATACTATAGAAATTTCTGTCCCCAAAGAAGATCCTCTCTTTATGAGGCAAAAAGAGGCTTAATTAAGTATAAGGATTAAGAGGATAGGATGGAAAAAGTTACCATGGAAAATTAGGAACCTTGGACACCTGTTTCTGAAATGACCAGAAAATTTTATTACGGAATATCAGATTTTCTAAACCAAATATGAGTTAAAAAAAAAAAAAAAAAAGAAAGAAAGAAAGAAAGAAAAACTAGAATGTGATTAACTTAATCATGCCTAAATTAACTAATCTTGTATTCACTAATATTTAGAAACCTTACATAGATAGGACAAATGTATTAAATTAAGTGTAATAGGATGTTAAACACGACTTTTCCTACTGCCTCTGAGTTTTGACAGAAACTTCAATGGTTGGGAATAAGAAATGTCAGGTAATGCTCTATTCTAAAGTGAGGCACTTTATGATCTAGGTAGAACATGTCAAGGTAGCAGTCCAAAACTGGCTGAGTGTGCATTAGCCTTTTACCCACATCCAGTTTATATTAGAAAATGTGAAGAATTCTTGGGCATGGTGAAATAGACGCTTGATAATACTGTAGGTTTCCAAGCCCCTATCCTCAGAACTTTGATTCTGAAGGTCTGGACGCCCCCCCCCCGCCCCCATCTACATTAACAGGTATTGCAAGTGATTCCCATTGTTAAGAACCCTAGGGAATTTGGATGCGTGTGGTCTACAGATAAGACTTTTAAAAACACTGAACTACAGTGATGAGAGCAATGGGGGAAGGAAAGACTACATACTTACTATGAAAGGAGAATTGATTTGGTGATTGAATAAATGGAATGCAGGTTAGAAACAGAAGGCAAGGATAAATTCCAGATGTCAAATTTGAGGAAAGAAGAAGGGAACGTGACACTATGAAAAGAAAGTGAATTTAGAATGTAGAAGAGGAAGCAGGGATATGAGAAAACATGAATACTTAGGTAAAGTTTTTTTTATGAAACATCTTTCAAGGTCTAAATGATCCCTAAGCTAAGAATCTTGTTATCAGGCTTTAGACAAATATAATTGTTGCTCTATTTCAGCACTGGGTAGGATGGGGGAAGTATGAGGAGAAATAGTCCTTTTGGAGACCTTTTAATGTTGTAATTAATAAAGGAAAAGAAGAGTTTTCAAAAAGTTTTTGACTTAGGGTCCTGAGCTAAAATGTATGACTTTGATAATGGAATTCATTATCCAAAACAACAACAAATAGACTAAGAATTTGAAGGGAACTGAGATGAATAAAGTGCAATAAAGAGAGATGAAGTGAGCTGGTCAAAAATCAAAGAGCTAGGTAGTATCAAATAGATACTAGAACCCAGAGCACCTGAATTTCTGCATGTCTTCTCAATTAGATTAGAAAAGTATAACACAAATTACTTTGTGTTACTTGAAGATTGAAAATGGAATCAACAGTTTAGGCTCACTGGTTAGAATCTGATACATAATCTTAGTGACTTAACACACTTTAGTGTGAATATAGAATTTTTTATACAGTTGTGTTCATATAATCAGTAAATATTCTCATACTATACAAATTCTCCTGAGGTACCAAAAAAGCTCATGTTTCAACCATTGGGTTGTCAATCCCAAGCTTATAACTACACTCCTTTTAAAAATAATAATAGAGGGTCTCCTGGGTGGCTCAGTTGGTTAAGCAACTGCCCTCCGCTCAGGTCATGATCCTGGAGTCTGGGATCGAGTCCCACATGAGGCTCTCTGATCGCCAGAGAGTGTTTCTCCCACTGTTCTCTCTCCTCTCATGCTCTCTCTCATTCTCTCTCTCAAATAAATAAATAAAATATTTTAAAAAAAATAATAGAATGACTGCTGTAATGCTTTGATGGAAGTGTGCTGGGTTTTGATAAAACTTAGATCATTTTAATGCATAACAGCTATAACTCAGTACAACATTATTGCATATAGGCAATTCCTCCTGTTGCATAAATTATTGTGAGCATTTTTCTTCAAGATAAATAAAGTGGAAAATGATAATTTTTTAAAGTGTAAGACATCTGCAATTGGTAATTAATATACTAATGCTAACTGTCAAAAGCTATAAAATCCAGAATTTTGTCTTTTAATTGAATTATCGTGTTGACTAGAGGATGAATGTGATTATAAAAACATAAACTACATCTATTTCAGTTTTGATTTTCTGAATTTGTCGCATCTTTTCCCCAAATAATATTACAACAGGAAAGATGTTTACCAGATTGTCAACAGTATGAGGGCAGAAACCACAAGTGTCCTAAGAACTGATTACAGTGCCTGTGATAGGATATTAAAGATATCTTTGAATAAATAGATATGTGAATAAAATGTCAAAATGTAATCACCCTAAAAATTAATAAGGCCGTTATGAAAAATGTTTTGAATTTAATATACAGCGGTTTAGGAGATATTCTTAGTGGGTAGCTAAAGAACATAAATTATACCTCGATTAAGAAAATAAGGAATAATTCTGAAAGAAATGCAAATTTCCTAGCATTTCTCAAATTTTATCATAGCTCAAATTCGGTTCAAGAATTGCCTTTTTGGAAATTTTGCAAACAGCATGCAGGAAATTTTGCAAACAGCATGCAGTTTCAAATCATATATAAGCCTTGTGAGCTTGCTAGTAATTTCCTTATCAGGAGTCTTTCTAAGCATTTATCTATAAACGTTACCTTTAAATTTTATTACCAAAGTTATAAAAAACAAGATTCTCATGTGGCATCTACACTAAGCAGGGGAGAAGATATCATTCTAAAATATAGTGACTTCTTTAAAAAATAAAATTGCACAAACATAAGTACATCTGTTTATTTTTAAAGATATTTTATACGTAGAAAAATCAAACTTAGATCCAATATGCAATGATGTTTATATGGGACTGAATTAGAAAATAGCATAGAATTTCCTCTTTTTGGTAAACAAGCAGCAAGCTTAAAAGATTTTTTATAGAGAAAAACAAAATTAAAAAATAGCAATAACAATATCAATAATGAAAGAAAGAGAGGAAAATGAAGAAGCAGTATTCCATCCAAGAATCAAAGTTATAAATAGCATAACATGTACTGGACTAAGTTCTGGATCTGGATCTGACATTAGCTAGATCAGATATATGACCTTTCTAGAACATTTAGTCTCTAGTGGACTTGGAATTTCTTATAGAGATAATGACATTATTATCACTATCACAACCACCACTATCACCACTGTTACTACTTCTACTTGTAAAGAAGAGTTTAGAAGAGATGCTCTTAAGAGTCCTTCTTTCTCTGAAAGCATAGGACTTCCAAGACTAGTCACATACTCTCTTTTTACAAGTAAGGAGAGAACTAACTGCCCTGAGAAGCTTGCTCATTGAGTATGCATATGCACTTTCCTATTTCTATTGGGAATCTACAAAATGTGTATACACACACATACACATGTGCATACACACATACATTTTTTTTTAAATACACCACTTATCAGACAGTAGAGACCATAAGGCAGCCCATAATCACAGTTCAGTTAGGGGAAATTTCGTAAGCTAAAGCTCATTATATCCCAGTTGACTATAAGGAGGACTACTATCATCATGCTTCACAATTACAAATCTATTTTCCCAGATAGCTTCAGATATGTCTGGATATTCCAATGCACACAGATCAAAAGTAGGATCCATAAAAAACAGAGGAAAGGGATTTCCCCTCCATGATTCTTAACACAGTAGGAGTAGAGATAAGAAATTTGATCCATCAATCCAACTGTGAAGTTACATATAGACAATTTTCTACTTGATGTTGACATTTCTAATAGTGTTATCTGTGTGTTTGAATATTACTTAAATGTCCAATGCATGCCAAATGGTCCTTTCTACAATGGGGCAGTCTGTCATTCTGCTTTATTCTCTTAGCCTCCTAAACTTCAGGACCTGACCAAAGATGACTTTCAGTCTCTCTAATTACCTGGTGATGTGCTGTTTTCCCTTCTATCTGTCTTTTCGTCTCTGCACCTAGCACTACACAGCTACACTTGGTGGTTATAGTTAATGGTGTCCTTAGAGCAGTGTTTGTTTAACCTACTCTAGATTAATGTTGGCAGGTTATCATTCTATTTCCAGCAAGACCTAAGTGGGGAAAATAAAAAGGAGATGCAAAACACCATAACTGAAAAATTAACATTGAAATAAGACAGTAAATAAATAAATAAATAAATAAATACTATATTTGTTGAGTGATTTCTACTTTGAAGGAAAAAAAAGAAAGATAGTAAAGATTATCAGACAGGGATTAGAAATGAATGAAGCAGGCTAGAGCTAGAGTGAGGGCTACTATTGGGAACAGTAGAAAATAGAGCAAACCAGAGGATATATTCCATCTGAATCTGTTCCTGCCTCACTGGTAAAATGAGATGATGAGAGTTCAGTACTGCCCATTCTTCTGATTTTTTGCAAGAAAAGACAGAAATACGTAACTTTTGTGTAAAATCTCCCTATTTCTACAGGCTCACGACCAATTCAAAATATTACAATAATGTGCAGGCCAAACAAAATCCATGGGCCCAATTTTGTAGTCTCCATAATCTAACCTCTGTGTGTGGATGAATGGGGGTGCTTCCTTAATTAGATTGTGAATTTAACACTAAAAGCCAAATCCTACATATCCATATTCTTTAAAACGGAAGCAAAATCAAGATTTAATTGGTGGCCTTATTAAAAGGCTTTGATGCAACTGATTTGTCTATAAGATGTCCAAAATATCTTTTAGAAAGAAGCATTTTTTATTTTAAGGTTTATGATTTTTTAATTTTCTATGATTTTCAGATCACTTGGTAATGACATCGTTGGTTTGCCTTTCATCTACTCATAGTCAGATGCACATAACAGAAAAAATATTAATAAACAAATATGTGCAAGCACTTGCTATACTAAATAAGAATGAGTGATACGAAATGAGACATAACCAAACAAATGAGGCATGATATGTTTGCAATATTCTCTGTGAGTTGTCAGGTTGCTACTTTAAGTGTTAGTTCTATTGTTTTTAGTATTGAAAAGACTACATCTTGATTCATAGCTTTTGTTAAAATCGTATTACACTACGTAAGAGAAAAGGAAAAAATATTGTCTCTAGAAGTTGTATGAGGATTTATGTTATTTATAATAATTTATGATATTTATAATAAATAAATTATAAATAATTTTGTTATTTATAATAAATTTAATATATATTATAATAAATATATGTTATATGTATTATATATTATAATAAATATATGTTAATATATGTTATAATAAATAAATTTATGTTATTTATAATAAAATATGGTTTTGTTTAAAAAAAAGACAAAGAGGCACTTCAGATACTCTTAGAAAAGATAAATATACTTGAAAAGTACCAGAGGTAAGGTAAACTCTAAAAATCTTGGTCCCTACTGCTTTCTAAAAAACAAATAGCTTCACCATTCGTGAGAACTTGTAATTTTCCAAATTTTCTACTATTTGCTTCTACCTTACAACAGATTTTGTTTCTCAGATAAAAATCAAGTTGCATTAATATAAAGGGAAATAATCTACATTTACATAGGGATCTTCCCTTTCCCCCTTATCCACCCATCCTATCTCTCTCCTTCTCTCCCTCTCCCTTCTTCCTTTCTTTCCTGAATTAAACAAAATCTTTCTTGTAAAATGGAGATTTTTTTCAAGTAAAACTTACTGCAGTGGTTTTTTTTGTTTGTTTGTTTTTGTTTGTTTGTTTTTGTTTGTTTGTTTTTTTAATTATCATCTCTTTTCTTGCCCAAGCTCTTTTATCTAAGCAGCAAGGACATCAACTGAGTGGTTTCAGCCCCACTCAGTTCCATGATGATCCTGGCCAGAGCAGGAAATAAACCTCAGTGGGTTCAGTCCAGATCAGCACTAATTTCAGGATCCAGTAAGACCAGGGAGAGCCATAGGCATAAAGAGTGTGTTCATCAAGCTATAGATAAACTTTCCAGAAACCTGCCATTTTGACCTAAACCACTGGTTAACTCTTCCACTCAGAGTGCTCTCCCCCCAACACTTCCCTCCAAAGTAAGCACTCAGTCATTCCTTACCCATTTTGATTTTTTTGTTTGTTCCCCTAGTTTGTCTTTTTGTACTTCTTAAAACCAGCTTTTTTGGGGCGCCTGGGTGGCTCAGTGGGTTAAAGCCTCTGCCTTCTGCTCAGGTCATGATCTCAGGGTGCTGGGATCGAGCCCCGCATCGGGCTCTCTGCTCAGCAGGGAGCCTGCTTCCCCCTCTCTCTCTGCCTGCCTCTCTGCCTACTTCTGATCTCTGTCTGTCAAATAAATGAGTGAAATCTTTAAAACAAACAAACAAACAAACAAACCAGCTTTTTGAGAAACAACTGACACACAACACTGTAAAATATTGCACAACTGACAGGCACATATTTAAAAGTGTAAAATTTGAGAAGTTTTGAAACATGTATAAACCTAATAAACTATCACAACAATCAAGATCGTGAACATACCCATATCCATCTCTCCCCCCAAAAATCACCCCAAAGTTTCCTTGTGCCCCTTTGTAATCTTGCTCTTCTATCCCTCCCCATCGTCCTATCTCCAGGCAAACACTAATCTGCTTTCTAGATTAGTTACCAAGTCAGCAAAAACAAATAGGAAGGAGACTTTTGATGCCCTACATCTCATGTAGGGTCTCCTCAATTTTTGTCTCCTCAATTTTTCTTTCCCAGTTCAGTGTTTCCTATTCAGAAGATTTTAAAAAGGTTAAGAATACACACAGAACATTAAATATTTAAATTAACAATCAAAATGCATATAAAGAAGGGAGTTCTAATAATTATAGACTAAAGCAGCAGCTTGTCTACAACATAGGTACATGTTGAACGCCAACATTTCACTTTCAAAAATGCCTAAGAAATACTACCAAACTGACATACATTTTCAAGCTTATTTGTGGTTAGAAAATTAATGTTGATATTATAGAACACAAATTTAAACACTTAATGAATATTCCATCTAAGGTGGGAGGCATCGTGATTTGACTGCTCAGAAATCTTGAAATTAACATTTATTATTTTTAGCTAAATAGCTCATAAGCATTACCTTTTCTGTAGGATTAATTTATATCCTTCTAGTGATGTTCCCTCAGCAGCCTTGACTCTGATTGGATGACCAATAGCTAGGCAGCCCTGCGTTATCGCCCGGCTCAGGATCATTCCAGCCTTCCAATGAATAGAGAGGGGAGAGAAAGGTCTAAATAAGTTAAAAGAACCAGAAAATTCAACAATGTGTCACAAATAGTGAGGTCATTATGCCTGGATAACCCCGGATATTAACAGTTGCTGAAAGTGAAACACTACCCACAACTTAGCAGTCAGTGAGCCCTGCTCAGAATCAGTGATCTTCTGTCCAACAAGGGTGGCATTTTACAGTTCAGCGCAAAATAAAACAGACCTTGATATCTTCATTTGTCCTTTTTTTTCTGTGCATATTTCACAGGGCAGTGATTTGGGGTCCATCATGTGTCACTTGTTATAGTTATAACTACAGAGCTTACTTGAAATATGTATGCACAGGAAAAAAAAAGTGCAGTGAACTGAAAAGATTGAAACAAATCCTTAACCTTCGTACCAGTTTAAAGTTTTATTCTGGGTCTAAATACCATGGGTTAAACATTTTAAGGTGGTTGTGCACTGTTTTTGTTTTAAATGCTAGGATACTCTGATAAGGAAATTGGTTGGGAATATTGTTTAAATGGCCAATTAACAATTTTCTTACTTAGGGAATCAACAACACATTTTAAATAAGTGACAACCACTGAAGAATGTATTTACACACACTGAAGATTTATGGCATGCGAAAGTGTCTATCCTAACAAGTAAAAATATTTATTTTGAAAAAGGGGAGAGAGCATTCAATCTAAAAAGAGTTTCAAAATTGTCTTCTTTTTAGCATGTTAACTTTTATATCTCATGCTTTCACTGTGTGCTAAAGAAATATATGATAACTTGGGAAAAGTATTTTTTTTAATTTTGGTTCTAATAAATACTGGATGGAATCTTCATTTGAACAAGCTTGTCTCTACAGCAAGAAAATTCCTTGGGGTGAGGATAAAAGGACATTTATTAAGCACTTTCTGTATACCAGATCCTATGCTTGAACTTCACAGTACTTTCTTACTTGTCACCCCAGCAACTGTGCAAGGTAGGTATGACTAACTTCAGTTTACAGAGGAGGAAACAGTGGTTTAGTGCAGCTAAGTAACTTTTTCAAGGTCACACAGGCATTCTAATTCCCACCCATCTAACTCCAAAAGCCCATCCTCTTTTCAGTAAGCATTTCAGTTATTTCTGAGGAAATTTTAGACAAGTACAGGTTTTTTGCTATCATGAAATTGTAGAAACAGATACCATAAAATTGCAGAATATGAGATCTCAAAAGGAACTCTTCATATCATGTCAGCTGGTCCAACTCTTTTCAGATAAGACTAAAGCCCAGATACAGTGTGTGACTTACCCAAGGTAACAGAAATATTCAGTGGCAATGCTAACGCTTAAGAACTTCCATCATGCTCAGACATTAGCCAAATACTGAGCAGCGTTTTACATTACAGTGAAAAGGTATAAATTTTGAAGTCAGATAGACCAAGAATCTTTCCTCTGTCACGTACAAGCCTCAGTTTTTTCAGCTGTATAATGTATAAGATTAAATGAGATAAGAAATATGTAGAAGATGCCTAACATAGAGCAGTTGTTTAACAAAATTGCAAATATTATTATTAAGTCTGAAACAAAATACAATTTAAAAAGGGTTCGTAGTTCATAGAGTCTCCAAGTTCGAAGTAGATTGAAGAAATATCAACCTCTTTCTGCCTGAATATATGAAATGAACATTTCTTGGTGCCCTTGTACCTTAATTACTCTATATGTTTGTTTTTAGCTCTCAGAGAATCAAAAAATAACAGTTAAGGACAATCCCAAATTTCATTTGAGAAAAGAGTTGCAATCCCCTGTCCCCAAAAAAGCAGCAGCAAACCTGCCTGAGTGACTCTGCACTCAAAGAAGTGCTAAGAAGAGGCAAAAATAATCTAGAGTGAGGGCAAAGTAAGACATAAGAAGGGTAGACACAAGCTGTACTATCTCTTTCCAGACATAAATATTTGGTGGCAATTACACAACATATTTCAATAGCAAGTGGGAAGGGGAGGGCAATTACATGTTTTCAATTTAAATCAGATCCACTAGTATAGTAGTAAAGTTAAAAAATTAAATAGTGTCAATACATGGGTATAAAATGTGTTAGTCATTGTTCACATTCTATACTCAAGGATTTCTCTTAAAACTATCATTACTAGGGGCACCTGGGTGGCTCAGTCGTTGGGCGTCTGCCTTCAGTTCAGGTCATGATCCCAGGGTTCTGGGATCGAGCTCTGAGTGGGATCCCTGCTCAGCGAGAAGCCTGCTTCTCCCTCTCCTACTCCCCTGCTTGTGTTTCCTCTCTCTGTGTGTCTCTCTCCATCAAATAATAAAATCATTAAAAAGAACAATAACAACAACAAACAAAAACCGTCCTTTGGGAGACCGCACACTGTCCTTGTAGGGTGCGCCCCCACCAGGCTCCATGAAGATCAGCAATGAAGACTAAGGAGTGGAAGCAAATGACCTTCAGACAAACTTCATGAAAATGGTGAGTGTATGGACTGTTCGGAAGTTCTGTGCCAAGTTTAAATACTCTCTGAGTATGAACTAATCGGCACGTGTGAAAGTGAATTGAATGCTCACATGGGGATCCACAGCAGCCCTCTGCACGAGACAAACCAGGAGCAGAGAAGTAGCATTCCTGACAATCGCTCATGCCTCCACTTGTAGGCTTGTGTGCATGAGGACACCAGGAGCTGGAGCTGCACTGTGAGCAGCGAGCATGGGCAGTCACTCGGGGAGACCAGACACTGTTGTGTACCTTTGTGATCAGCCACACACTGGCTGCAGGCCACAGGATGGATGGCGCAGTCTCACTTCCACTACTTGCTTCCCTACTGGAGGAGCTCCGCTTTTTGATGGAAACAGAGGCATGAAGGACAATATTGGGATCCACCTATACCATGAGAAGAAGTACGTGTTTTTAAATGTATAGTCAGAAAGTCCACCCTCTTCAACACACCCAAAACAGGTTATCCTAGAACATTATATTTCTGACTGAAAAGGTTTCTTTTGAAGTAGTAGCGCTCCATCCCATTTAATTTAATTCAATTAATACTTGGTGAGCATCAGCTCTGATACGCAAGGCCCTAGACTATGTGGTATGGGGTATTATAAAATATTCTTCTTGCCTGGGACTCCCTGGGTGGCTCAGTCAGTTAAGCATCGGCCTTTGGCTTGGGTCATGGTCCCAGGGTCCTGGGATTGAGTCCTGCATCAGCCTCCCCTGCCCCGTGGGGAGTCTGCTTTTCCCTCTCACTCTCCCTCTGTGCTCTTTCCTCAAATAAATAAATAAATAAATAAATAAATAAATAAAATCTTTTAAAAACATTTTTTTCTTGCCCTAGAGAAACTTGCAGCAGAAGAGGCATTAACACACACACACACACACACAGAAACACACACACACGGACAGACTACATGGATTCTAGAACAGGGACATCAAAGGAGAACAGTTAAGAGTCCCCACAATCTTCTAAGAATAAAGGGACATGAGTTGAGAATTTAATGATAGTTGTGGGAATGGACAGGAGGGAACTAACTGGTAAGGCACAGTATCCCTGTCTCCCATATTTGTAATCAGACTACATACATCAAAGAAATTGTATACCTTCTAGCATTTCTCACTTAGCCATGATTGTAAAATAGGCATTCACATCACCTGTAGAAATTCTACTTCATATTTAAAACTCTTCTGCTAACCTATATGATCACTTTTCCTGAGTAAATTTTTAAGTATCAATATTTACTTATATAGGATTATGGGAATATGTCAGTTTATACTTTAAACCCAATAAATGACATTGCTTCAATAAACATTTAAATTATTTTCTAATACTAAAAAGTGTATTCTAAATCTGCACTAACACTAGATATTTGTCAAGTAGCAATTGATTCTTAAAAATTCAAAAATTAAATGATCATTTAAAAAGCAATATTTACACATGTGATCAGGTAATAACAAAAGGACATAACTAGTATATTTGGTAATTACACCACAATGGAAGATAGTTACATCTCAAGAGAAATATTTCTTTTTATTTTTTTAATTTATTTCTCTTTATTATTATTTATGTGAAAATAAAATTTTAAAAATGCAGCAACCCCACGACGGAAACGGATTTGACTTACAGCTCTTTGATTGTGTTTTCCCCAGTTAGCCAGTAGTGGCTGGATTCTGGAGGGGAATCCCCCACAGTTTCTGAACAATGATAAACTATATTCTACTAATCCACCCACCACAGGACTCAGCATTTAAAGTAACACTCTTACTCAACCTTCTAACTCCAAGTTGCCATCACACTCAAAACTCTCCTCTGCCAACAGGGAAGAAGATTGTTTTGACTGGAATTAGTCAGACAGAAGAACCGTACTGCCAACTGCTTCTTTGTCCAGCACCTGCTGCCAGCGCCTAAATTCTTGTTATCTCCACAACATGGTTTAATCTTTTAACAGTTGGCTTATTGGTGAAGAGCGAGGGGTTCTTTGTGTCTGTCTTGGGTTGGCACCCAGTATTAACACCATGCTGTTTTTCGAGAGATATTTTGCTGGACAGTTCCCAAGTGATTCTACATAGACCAGACTCAGCCAGGCCCACTAACTCAGCTTCATTGCCTGTTATTAAAAGAAAAAATCTTGCCAAGTCTGGGGTTCTGATACATTTAAAATTGACAGTGGCTATTAAATTTCAATTCATGATTTCACCTTTTCTTCCATTTTTAGTTTATTTGGATAGTTTAGCTTTAGACCAAACATGTATTAAGGTGGGAAAGATAAAAATGGTGAAAATTACAATTCATAAAAGAAAAGTGCTTTGACAACCTGCAACATGTTCTACCATGCATGCGTGCGTGCACACACAGGTATGTGATAGCATTGAGGCTGAGCTATTTTCTAAATACATATTATCACGTGTGTCATTAGGTCATTAGGAAACCCCTTTTATTCTTTTGAATACCTATATATATACAGGAGATAGATAGATGATAGATAATAGATAGAAAGATAGACAGATAGATAATGTATCCCTTTAAATGACTGTTATGATTTTAGTTGTCTGAATAAATTGTATTAATACAAAAGCTTCCAGTGATTAAAAAAAAAAATGGTGCATGCATACTCTGGGCCTCTTAAAACTTGTTGTTTAATTTTCTTTTTCCAAATCACTAATGAAAGCTGTTGATATTCCTGTGCAAATTCATAAGAGAAGCACTTATGGTGTTTATTTACAGATCTGAGGAATGAAACACAAGACAGTGAATTTTCTTGAAAGCAGGAGTTCACCGATCACCCCCTTTATTCAAAAACATATCATTTGCTACAAAGAAATTTTATAAGATTTTTCACTTCTGATCATGAATTTAGGGCCAAGTTAAAAAAGGTGATACACAAATTTAAATCACAACTATAAGGAGAGCCTGGGTGGCTCAGATGGTTAAGCGTCTGCCTTCAGCTCGGGTCGTGATCTCCAGGTCCTGGGGTTGAACCCCATGTCGGGCTCCCAGCTCAGCAGGGAGTTTGCTTCTCCCTCTGCCTCTCTCCCCTGCTTGTTTTCTCTCTCTCTCTCAAATGCATAAATAAAATCTTTTTTAAAAATAACATCACAACAATAATAAATGTTATAAAATCTCTTTCCTCGTGTCCCTACTGTTCATTCTTAGTCTTTTTATTCCCTAAATCTATAGCTGATGAATACACCCACCTCAAAGACCAAGAACTGGAAAAGTCTAAAGGCAGAAAGCACCAGTGAGTACATAATTATGCAATCAAACAAGGCAAAATATCTAAGATGTAAATATGCAGTCCTCAAATATCTTCCAACTATTGGTTTAAAAATAAGGAAGGAATAAATAAAAAGTTACTTTAAAAAAATAAGGAAGGGACTCGGGAATTTATTTAAAGTCTTGTGTCCTATTCTAATGGCAATTGGTTCAAAATTAAAATTAAAATTTTGTATTTTTCCCAGTATAAATTGTTTGTAGAAAACATTATTTTTCAATGACTTGCCCTCCAAAGAAATAGAACAGTCAAAAAAAAAGTGTTCATTTTTGGTTAGTCTCCTTTGTGATATATAAAATAATTCATTCTGCTAGTATCCATGACTGCTGAATTTACAAGCTGTAAGTTTATAACTCTTAACAAGAATGCTACAATTGTAAAATCATTATTTGGTATTGTTCTTGCCGTTTCCATACCAAAAGTTGTCACTAATGTTGTGCTAAAGTCTGATTATACCAAAAGGCTAGGATCAAAATATGTTTCCTTTCCATTTTGGCAGAATGTATTACCTGCTGAACACTGGAGTCCATTTTTCTGCTATTTTTTCCCATAGCCAGGCATTTCTCAAACTAATGTTTTTTCTTTTATATTAACTACTATGAAGTTTAAATCTCATCCAATGCATGGAAATATTTAATTTTATTGCCCTTAAGCTGAAGCAATCTAAAAATGTTGTCAATTTAAGTAGCAAGAGAGAACTATTGAAAGATGTATTTGCCAAGTGTCATTTCGTAGTAGATTCCAAATCTTTTTTTTGAAATGGATAAAAGAGCAACAGGTTGTAATTGTCAGGGTTATATCTATCTCCTACATTACTAATAGGGATTATATGTTCCAAATTTTTCTCTGTAGGAAAGGTTTTACTTGTCAATAAGAGTTTTAAAAGAACAGTCAGGGGTTGGGCACTGATATCTCTATCTCAAGCCAATTTTAAAACGTATGCATCAAGAATATCGGCTTTTGCCTCCCTCTCTCTACCCCTGTTGTAATCCTCTTAGTGTCTTCTTTACCACAAGGAGCATCAAGATTCTACAATAAAAGGCCTATAGATATCTATCACCTCTGCTAGAATCTTTCTTGAAAAGTGCTCCGTTTCAGGTTATTAAATTACTATTTCCAATGCACTGATCACCTCTCTGTATATAATTGGAGGTGCTTTTCTGAAAGGATTGTAAAGATTTTTTAAAAAGCTAAGGGAGGGCCATTTTTCTTTGAAAGCTTCTTTTTACTAGCCAGCTTATCAAATTGTTGCTTTCTTATACTACTGTTGGACTGAAATTTTATTCAAAACCAAATTCTTCTTCTAAAATTATAATAGTGTACAAACTTTCAGTTGAGAGTTTTCTCATTTTTACTAAATCATTAAAACCAGTTAGGAATGGTGAAATAATTGGATGTTATTCTCTCTCATTTTTCAACATGAGAAAATATAGTTATCTTTTAAAGTCCTACATTGGCATAAAATCAAAAAAGAAGCTTCCTCTGAGTTCTTTTTCTCTGATAACTCTTTGATATCCTTTTTTTTCCCCCCAGGTTTGAGCTGTTTTCTGTTGAATGAGTTAATTAGTGAATTCAATTCCATCTAGCTAACTCTGAACGTGTAGATATTGCAATAATGACAACGATGATCAGGATGCCCTCTGTCCCTGAGCAATGGCTAATCCAGCAGGGAGGATAAACAAAAGACTCCTGAGTTATCTTCCTAACACAAACATCAAGTCAGATGCTGCTTCTGCTTTAATATTTCCAATGGCTCCTTGTTTTCTACAGAACAACATCCAGAACCCCTAACACTGAATTAATAACCTTTATGACCTGATCCCAATATTCTCAGTGGAATCTACCATTCTCCCTTTTATTCTCCAATGTGACCTGAAATGTGTTCATTTGGAGCACTAGTTGACTTTGAATCATGCAAAAAATGTTTAAGAGAAACATCAAGTTCAATGTCATAAGGATCACAGAATGAATGCAATGAAGATTTATGTCCAGAAACATCACATCCAGTTTGGGGATGAAGGTTGGTAAAGAAATCTTTCATGAAGCAGGCACAAATCAGATAAGGTTAGAATGATGGGCAGAATTTCAGCGAGCATTTAATGAATGCCAGCTGTACGCCAGACAGTGTTAGAATATGGCATAAAAGTGACAAAGAAGGCTGGTGGGTGGTAACAAAGAAAAGGGGTTGAATTCTAGGCAAAGTGATCCACATGGCCATAACAACAGAAATCGTGAAGTACTTTCAGAAAACAACAAATGAACAATCAGGCTTGGCTAACACATGAAGAACATATTAGAGAATATTGAGCCTTAAAAGAAAGGTTGTACCTAGGTTTTTAAAAATTATTCATCAAAAATGAATTGTGCATCTGCCCTGTATGAGCAGCTTCCATACAACAGATCTGTGCTAGAATTCAAAAATACAAAGATGAGTAAGATATAATGTCTGTGTCCAAAGAATTCTCAATTTAATGGAAGAGAAAGACACGAAAACAAATGACTATACCAAAACACAAACTTTGGGAACATTTTCAAAGGATGAAAAGAAGTTTCAATAATATGAAGTTCATTCTTTCTGGAGGATCTGAGATGGCTCCATGGAAGAAGAGTTGAATAAAGCCTTAAAAGGCAAGGAATGGTAATGGTGGGGGGTATATATATCCTAGGCCAAGAACAACACATACCATGGCACAAGTGGACATGAAGAACATGTTACAGGGCACAATTTACTAGCTCTAACTGTAGTGTAGTGTACAAAGATCAAGAAGAGAAGATTGGAATGGCAAGTCAAGATTAGGGGCAGATTAGAGAACCATGGAGATCAATGAAGGTCTGACGAGAATTTGGAATTTCAGTGGGTAACAGGCAGGGTTACAAGTTTTTTTGAACAGGAAACAATGTCACATCAAAACCTAAAAAGGAATGCCAACAGGATCAGAATTATGGTAAATAAATCTTAATGAGAGATGAATATAAAATATAAATGTAGACATTAATTCTTCGTGTATTTCTCAACTTGAATTTATTTTCTAAATTTGCTCAAAATCTGGCAGGGGTAGAAATACAGCTAACCCTGGAATAACACAGGTTTGAACTAAATGGGTCCCCTTAGATGTGGATTTTCTTTGATACAGTACAATGATATAAATGCATTTTCTCTTCTTCATGATTTTCCTAATAACATTTTCTTTTCTCTAGCTTATTTTTTTGCAATAACACAGTACATAATGCATACAATATGTAAAATACCTGTTAACCGACTGTTTCTGTGAGGTTTCTGGTTAACGGTAGGTTATTAGCAGTTAAATTTGGGGGCAGTGAAAAGTTCTACATGGAAAAAAAATTGTATGTGTATTTCTAATTGTGAGATATCAGTACCCCTAACTCCATTGTTCAGGGGTCAACTATAATTATTTATTTTATTCTATTTTTATAATTGTATTATTTAGATTCACAGGTGTTTTAAAACAACTAATATTTTCAGTATACATTTTGACATAATAAACTGACAGTCATACAGAAATTAGAAAAGAGCAGGTTGAGACAATGGATCTTTGCATTGTCTCTTAGAAATAAAGGGCCCAGACCATTTAACAGGAAGTCCTACTTTGAGCATCTTTATCACTGTGGGTACCTTTTGGTTTTGATTTCATGAGTTCAAAAAGTAAAGCTTATGCTGCTGAAATGGACAACAACCCTGCCACTCAGGAAAAAAAACAAAGTTATGATTCTTTCTTTGGAGACATGTTTCAAATACATCTCATAGCTCAGTTGAAGAAGAAAATTCTTTACTGGCATTTCTAAGTATAAATTAATAAACAAACCTTCTGAATTGGGTTGTAATGAGTTGGGTTTTCTAAAGAACTCCTATTCCTTAAATACATTGACCCACAGAGCAAAGAGATCAAATGCTTAACAACCATCTTAAAGATTTTTTAAAACAACTCCAACTTATTAATACAGTAGATATAAAGAAAATATGCTAAGCAATAGCACTTAAATGACTACTCAGGTAAAATTTTTTCTAGTGGGAATACTATATATTGGTTCAGTTTTAAAGTGCTGAATTAACAGGAAGTAAAGAATAATGCCTGCCCCAACATTTGTAATATAATCTGTACTTTTCAAAAAACCTTCAAAAAATCCACTCAGTCACCATACAGTGAATGACTGTCCAACACATAAAATACGTTTATTAAGTACAAGAAATAATTCTGACCTTGGGGGCGCCTGGGTGGCTCAGTGGGTTAAAGCCTCTGCCTTCGGCTCAGGTCATGATCCCAGGGTTCTGGGATCGAGCCCCGCATGGGACTCTCCGCTCAGCGGGGAGCCTGCTTCCCTTCCCCTCTCTCTGCCTGCTTCTCTGCCTACTTGTGATCTTTGTCTGTCAAATAAATAAATAAAATCTTAAAAAAAGAAAGAAAGAAAGAAAGAATTCTGACCTTGTTCTGTAGGAAATGGTTCTCCAAGTCCACCTTTTCAAATTGATCAGGTATCTCTTGACTGGTACTGTTGAAATTAATTGGAAATCTCTCACAAACTTCCCAACTAAGAAAAGTAAAATATTTAACTATTATTGTCAAAATAAAATACACTTAATTATAACTTTCTTTATTCTACTGGTATAATAATTTACATATCTTATACTCTACTAGGGAGAGAAAAACAAATGTATAGTTCACAATCTTTTTAAACAGAAATTTGTAAAGTGCTTTGTTATCTATAATTGGGAAACGAAGACTTCAAATTTGTATCTTGCAATTATTTATTATACTGGAGGATTCCATGACTGATTAATTATAAACAGAACAGAGAAACAAACAAACAAAAAAACAAAAAAATGACTCAGTCTTACAGAATCACTTATAGTGGACACCGTCTTCACTGTTAACTTTTACTCTAAATACCATGGGCTATAAATAATACAAGATAGTTTTATACTTAAAATGGTTATGTCAAGCACATTGTTTTGGCAATTTTTAGACAGTCTTACAAAGGAGCACATTCTAGGGGGCATACAAACTACAAATGGGGAGTGGGAGGTTCAGCCAAATTAGTTCAGCCAAATCACTTATTTTTTAAGACTTTATTTATCTGAGACAGAGAGAGAGCACGAGTTGGGGGTGGAGGGGCAAAGGGAAAGGAGGAAGCAGACTCCCTACTGAGCAGGAAGCCAGACACTGGGACCATGACCTGAGCCGAAGGGAGACACTTAACTGACTGAGTCACCCAGATGCCCCCAAATAACCTATTTTAAAAGTGAACTAATCATTAAAGAAAATTATCTGGCTAGCACTTATATGTTAAGACATATCATATGGCATGTTATTCAACAAAAACCAGTTCTGAGACAGGTAATAGTATTTTTTGCAATACCCCGAGAGACATAAGTTAAAGTATGATTATTAAGATTTCAAATAATGCATGTTATAGTATAGAAAGATTTTCAAATGGGATCTACAAATTATGTCCACTTCTGGTTCTCTGGATTTTCCCTCTACATCCAGCCTTTTCACCTGTATATTAAGGAAAGCTATAAATTGTTAAATTACAAAATATTAAAGATAGATGGGATCTTATAGATAGATCACCTAATCCAACATACTATCAGAATCATGCTGACTGCCCAATATAATAGCCATTAGCCACATACACCTATTTAAATTTAACTTAATATAACTTAAAATTAAAAATGTAGTTCCTCAGTCACATTAGTCATATTTTAAGTTCTCAGTAGTCAAAACATATGCTTCCATCATCACAGAAAGTTCTAGTAGAGAGTGCTAGGTATTTGTTAAGCCCTCAGTTCTTAAGAGAGACACTCTGGTTTAGAACCCTGGCTCTATCATGTACTAGTTCTATGAATGGACAAATCACTCTGCCCTTCTGTGCCTCAGTTCGAGCTCTATAAAATGGAGTAATAATAAGATAATGTAATGATGGGATTAAGATCATTGTTTTGAGGATTAAACAAATCCTTACCCAATTCATTTAGAACTGTGATCAACACTTAGCAAATACTGGGTTTTATTATTTACAGATAAGAAACTGACACCCACAGAGCGCCTGGTGGCTCAGTGGGTTAAGCCTCTGCCTTCTGCTCAGTTTCCTGATCTCAGGGTCCTGGGATGAAGTCCCGCATTGGGCTCTCCGCTCAGCGGGGAGCCTTCTTCCTCCCCTCTCTCTCTGCCTGACTCTCTGCCTGCTTGTGATCTCTCTCTGTCAAATAAATAAATAAATAAATTCTAAAATAAAAAGAAAGAAAGAAAGAAGACGCTGACACCCACCAGCTCATGGAAAATCATGAGCAGCAGAGATGGGGTTAATTCTCAAATCTTCCAACTCCTATTCTTCCCACCACTCCACCAATTCTTTAGCATATTGCTTTTGTTTTCAATTTATCATCATCAAAGGAGACATTTAAATATGAACACTCAAGATAACGTTATTTAATATTTTAATGATACCACTCAAAACTCTTAATTTAGAAACATCCACTAAACATTTTTTACATTTTAAATAAAACTGTTACATCTGCAAAGCAGAAACTTGAGTCTGCCCATTGCTTCACAGGTTTTGTTGTTTTTTTGTTTAACTCAAGAGAAGTTACTGAAAAACTTTTTAGACACTAGCTCATTATACCATGAAATAAGCCAATAAAATAAGTAATTGCTTAGTAAAACAGTACAAAGAACATCTTTTAGTGTTGCAATCTGAGTTAAGTATTTCAAATTATTTTAACTGAGCACATGTTAATTTACTTGTCACATCCAGGTAGCAGAACAGCATTAGGATCCAAGAAGGTTTTATATGCTACTGTAATGCCGTCTCTGTCAAATGCAGTCACCGGGTCAAAGGTGAGACTCAAAACAGGGGTAAGTGGAGAGCTGAAAAATGGATAAAACATCAAAGGTATATGCAAAATCATACAAACCTTGAAATTTGAGCACAAATAAATAATAAAACCTATAATATCAGTGAGTAACAAAGTCCAGAAATAAGTGAATTTCTTATTATATGGCACTATTGTTGATACCTTGTACTGACACCTGAAATGCACATTTTAGTTTATTTGGCTGATTTATATGTCAAGGATAGTTGTAAAACATGTAGTTCTTAAAAATAATTTCAATAATAAAAGCAAAGTATTTAGTTGAGAAAAACAACCAATTGTCATTCATGCAATTTTTACTTTTTAACATTTAACTACAATGCAATACACCATTAACATTCTCTGGAGCTGACAATTAAGTGAATTCTTAATATTTGGCTATAAATTACTATTTTTGTGAGCTCATTAAATGTTATGCTGATTTGATTTTTCATATTACATACTGTTAGGTACTTTCTTTTCTACTTAATTATTTGAGAATTAAAATCAAATAGGAAACAGACCTTAAATAAAAACAATGGCAACTGGCATTATGTCAACTATGAGCCTTTTCTTTTTTTCTAAATTGGTGAAAAAGTCTTGCTATTTAACTTCATAATTATAGGACTCAAGCACATCACCTGGGTAGGATTGTCAAAAATTTTTAAACTGAATCTAATCATGAGAAAACATGAGACAAATTCAGAATGTGGGACATTCTACAAGAAAACTGCCTGAACTCTTAAAAATTTCAATGTCATGAGAAGCAAAACAAAAGGTGAGAGAATATTCTAGATTAGAGAGAACTAAAGGAGATAACAACGTAATACATGAATCTTACTTGGATCTTAGACTACAAGAAACTCTAAAGCACATTTTGCATAGTTTAAACATAGATTGTATATTAGATGATGTTATATTATTGTTGACTGTGCTAGATATTACAATGTGGTGACATAGAAGAACATCCTATTCTTCAGTTATATGATCTGAAGCATTTATGAGTGAAACTTGAGTGACGGTCTGGAAATAATCTCAAAGCTCTCAAAGAGAGAGAAGGGAGATAGAAGAGGTAAAACTAATGAGGCAAACTCTAAACTGGTGTACCTAGGTGAAGGATACATAGGTGTTAATTGTATAATTCTTTCAAGTTTTCTGTAGACTGGATATATTCCAAAATAAAAATTGGGAAAAAAATAATGACAGGACTGAAAAAGCAGATATCGGCAAAATCAACTTTTATAAATGAGTAAGCTAACTCCCCATGTCAACACATTAAAATTACTATCTAAATATGAGTATCATTTACTTAGTACATATTGCACATTCTCTCAATATGTTTTAAACTAGATCTAGGAAATAACTTTTAGACATAAATTTCAGAAATTCCAATAGTAGCAAAATGCTATAATGGTTTCCTAGTGCTTTATATTGGATTCAAGACCAGAAAAAAATGATTCTGTTAAAATAACAATGACATATAAACAAATATACACTTATGAATTCTTCCAGCTACAACCCTGTTGATTTTAGAGTATTCCAGATACTTTGCATATTACTAAGTTATTCCACAAGTATGATCCAACAAACCAAGAACAAATGTTTCATCTTATCAAAATATCATATTATAACAAACATCATTAAAAATATCAAATTAGTCATTGCTTTCACTTTAATGATGATATTTAAGAAGATATTATTAGAAACACATTTTATTAAAGCCTTTCCTTATAATTGGAAGAGCTTGCTAAATTATTCAAGAATTCTCGCCACTGTTAAATTCATCACTGTTCTACCATTATAAAAACAATTCTCACAATGTAACTGAATTATATCTTGAAATCTGTCTATGGAAGAAAACATCATTCCTTACATATATTTTTAATTCTATAAATTACACAGCATAAGAAATTATTAAACATTTTAATTTCCCTCTCCTGGGAGAGAAGAAATCAAATTTCATAATATACTATCTACAACTAGTCCCACCAACTTCTTCCAAAACCTTCCTGAATTTGTGAGATTTATTTCAGTATTTGAAATCTTGACTCTTAGAAGATATAGCAAATCCAATCAGTTCCTAGTCCATCAATGCTATTTTCATTATAATTAATATACGATCAATTACACTCAATAAGCGAAGTTATTTTCCCCTACTTTCCCTATTCAGATAAATAGAGGCTTAAAAAATTTTTAAGTCGGCAGAAAAGTGTGTTTAAGTTTCCTGACAAGCAGTTTCCGAGTTCATCTGGATGTGTCCTGTCAAAATATGCATACATTTCTAAGATATTCCACACAACAGCCCAGCTCATCAGTGCCTGCAGACTGCAGCCTTTCTGTCTTCCCAGAGACACAGATAATTTTACGCAGGAATTTACCAATCTACAAAAATTTACACAATGCTCCGCAATAACTAGTAATTATTGTGGGATAATGTAAGGCGCTTTTGAGGAATATAACTTAGATAGGATAGGGCTTACAAGCTTTACCAATTTATCTTTAGCTGTCCTGTCATTGGTGCTTAAAAGGTTAAGACTTTATTTGTGAAAACATAGAGAGATAGTGGGGAATCATGTTGTCTACAGCTTCATAAATCTTGCTTAAGATCCTTTTCAATTACCATCCATTTCTCCTTTAAAAAGGGACAAAAAAATAGAGGAGTGGAAGCAGGTCAGGGCAGTGTGCGACAATGACAGTGTGATGGGCTTGGGCCCCCCGTGGCGTTTCCATCTGCTATCATTAAGGTGACTACTCAGACATGAACAAATCCCACTTGCTGTGCTGACAGGCAGACTTCAAGAACTATGACAAGGCATTAAGACAGAAAGTCAGAGAGAGAGAGAAAGAGAGAGAGGGATGTCATATCTCACAAACAATACTGCCTCACAAAAAAAAACGCCCCTGAAATTTTATTGGAATTCAAGATTTTTAAAAAAATTCATAAAGGGTGCTACTTGGCTTCTCAACTTTCCTTTTAAATTAGCTTGCCCCTGGAAAGGTTGAGGATAGACAGAATAAACACCTTGCTCCTACCTGTATGCTTTACCATAAGAGACCCAAATTTTCTGCTCATTCTTCAGCAAAAGTGGATTCTTAATTTCTTGACTATGCTCATCAAAAAGCCGGATTGAAGAAAAATTGAGGCCTGATGGGTTGATGGGTGATCCTTGAAGCCTTTGATGAATCTTGAGAAGTAACTGGTATTGGGGGAAAATAATGAAGAAGAAGAAGAAGTAATGTAAAATGTGAACATCTATAACAAACTGTCTCTACTCTGTAACAAATGAATCCAAACAAATGATAATTAAATTCATATGGAATGTTAAAAGAAGTGTGAAATGATGGCAATGTTTAGCTCAGTGTAAAGTAACAAAATGAGCATGGGCTTTTAACCAGCAGGGGGTGCCACAGGCTTGTGATTGAGCTCTGACCCTTTGGCACGGGGACTGAAAGCAGATGTGACAGCCTTAGAGAAAGAGCATTTAGCTTCCCCCGCACGGTAACAGTCCTCTTTGATAAGGGTTATGCTTTTCTTGTCCGAGCCACACATTTTGTTAGGATCCTTCCAGAGCACGTTCAGATTTTAGAATCAGCAACCTCCCCATCCCCCAGATAACTGCAGATAACAATGGTAGAACAACTCACCACTTTCAGGACTGCAAAAATAAACAGGATTTTCAGCCAATGTCTGTTCACCTACAAGAACTCCTTTGAATGTAGTTCAATTAAGAACCTTGCAAAAGCTTGTGAGCTGCTTCAATAATGAATGTTTTCAAGTTATGAGTAAGCCATAATTGGAATATGAAGTATGAAAGGCTCTCATTTGATATTTTAAATGATAGCATTGCCAGTGTTTGCTTCTCTCTTACATTCAGGTTACAGCAAGATCTTCCTAATTTCAGACACATTTTAGTGAAAGTAAATCCCACTGAACTGTGTTGCATATGGAATTTTAGAGGACATTTTTCTTTATCCATCAACTTTGTTTGAATGTTTAGGCCTCTGCTCCATCCCGCTCTGCACCCCACACTATCCATCACTGTTCTCCCCTGAGCCTTCTGTCTTCTCTCCCTTGTCAGTTCTTGTGTCTCTCAATTTCTCGTTACTCTGTAATCTCCGCAGGGATGCGGATACATTTGTGGTCTTTTCTTGCCTCGCTGCTATATGGGATGCTTTTTTTGCTCCTTCAATTAATTCCCATTGAAGGTACCTTGAGAAGTTAAATGCCAAAACTCAGAGGAAAGAAGACAAAGTTACAATCTTGCCATATATCTCAGTTTCCTCACCTATTGGCTATAAACTGTTGTCCAGGTAAAAGGTTTTCTTTGACCAGTAACTATATTTACAGAATACCTAAGATTTACGCTTTGTTGTAATTGGAGATGAACACCCATGTCTCTGACTTCATTAGCTCTGCATTGTTTTCCTCACCTCTGTGTTGACTAGATTTTTACCCTGGAGCATCAGAAAGGCTGAAAATAATGACACATTTTTCATTTCATTAAAGTTATAATTTCTCATCTTGCCTAAGTCCTCTGAATTAAAAATAATGATTCCTGTTCTCCTTGGGAGTATAGTAAACAAGGTACAAGAGCAGTAAAAATCTGCAGAGTTCTTGGTTTTGTTCATTGGAACCACAAACATAGTTTGAATTCTATAAACTGTTTTTACAAAGCCCAACATTTATTTCTGCGTGATCTCAGCCCTTGAGCTTATTTTCTGTCGCTCTGCTATTATTTCAGAAAACTTGTAATGCTGATCATCTTTGGAATCACAGTGATTTTGTTTTACAGGCATCACCTTTTTTTTTTTTTTTTTGTAAAGGGGAAAGATCTAAATGATTTAAGGCCTGATCCAAGAAAGAAATGTGCACACAAGAAACAGGAGTATGTGGCAGAAGGATATGAACACCTGACCACTTAACCAAATTCATTTTCACAGGAATAGCATTGCAATCTCTGTTTTTTTTTCAACTTGGTGACAGACTGCATTTTAGGTGTTCAAAGAAGAGCATTCAACAGCCAACAGGGGGTAAGGGCCTTGATATCTTTCATCTCTAGGTCATTGGTTAGGGCTAGGCTATGGCAACCAAAAGTTGTGATAATCTTCACCCATTTATCTCTAAACCTATCATCACCAGGCCTTTATAGGATAAGAATTTATTCAGGGACCTGAGAAGAGTGTGAAAAAATCTTGGGCTAATGATTGAAACAAGTGTGCACCAAAGGAACAGTCATCCTTGGGTATCACAAGGGAATCTCACTAACAGAGAGTTTTATTGCGCCCTAATTCAAGTTTTCCCTCAGATTTACTTGCATATAAAAGCAAAGCGTAGATGAATTTCAGCATGCTTTCACTCAACACAAGAACTTTCTACAAAATAATATCTTCTTATATAAGATAAAATAAATGCCGTCTTTAATTTTTATGTAAACCAAAAAAAAAAAAAATTTTTTATGTAAACCAAAGGTGAGTAAAAGGAAAACAGGTAGAAAATTCTAGGAAGACTTTTATACCATGGTGATTCATATAGTCAGAGATGTGATAGTAAAAAGAAATCAACCAAGGCTCTTGATCCTTCTCTCTCTAATCAATCAAGGTAACATTTCCCATCTCTCCTGGGCCCAGCCAATGATCAAATCAGATGAAAATCTCCTAATTCTAAACAACTCTTATGTTGCATACTCTCCTAATTCTATACTAAATTACAAAGGCCAGGTAACGGATACCACCAGGAAGAAGCAAGTTTGAGGGTGCCAAACTGAAAGGGGGTGGGGAGCAAGTCTCTAAACAAAGGCCAAGGAACAGAGCCCGAAACACTGGTGTGTGCTCGGATGCATAACCCCAATTTGTAAACAACAGGGCATTCATTGTCCTTTTATGCAAGACAAAGACCCAAAATAAAGACCCTGAACATGTTGGTTCTGCCTGAGAAACGTCCCAATTGTCTGGAAAATAAGCAAAGATAAGAGTGCCTAACATAAACCATCTGCATATGCTTGCAATGAGCACTGAAGACTAAGGCTATATGCTAGTTGCTCAGGGTCTAGGGCTTAGCAGTACCCCCAACCCGGCACATACCCTCCACTGAATATCGTGTCACTTCTTTTCGAAATGTAAACTAGAGGGCAATCCCAGAGTCCAGTGTAGACAGATTTCCAAATACAGGCATAATGAAGGTTAAGACATTGTTAAGTATGGGACCAAGAGTTAATACTCTTCCAAAGCTGAGAGCCTAAGAATTTCAAAAGTCAAGCTTGAGACTATCAATCTTTACAGAGCAACAAATGATTAATATTCTCAAAACAACTTTAAAGATGCAATTGTCTAAACTAACTACAAGTAACCTGAGAGACATTTATAGCCATAAGCAAAGAGAAAACTCACTTTTTCCATCATATCACCAGTTTGAGTTGGGCTATTAGACTCCAGGTCTTTTTTGCTGATGCAAACAGAGATCTCGCCAGTGTCTTTACCATTTTCAAATATCTGAAAAATAAACACATTCAAAATTAAAAATTAATACATGCACCTACACATTTGTACATATGTTCATACATACATATATAAAGGGAAGCAGTCCTGGCTTTGCACAGTATGGTGTCAACTGAAAGTCATGCGTGTGGAAAACTGCAAAGCAAGGCCTGCCTCTATGAACAAGTGCAAGTAATTGGCAATGAAAATCAACGGGACTGGTATAAGAAAGTCTCCTGTTTCTCCTTACAGTTTCAGGGTCTTTAACCTGACTGGCATTCCCTACATTTTAAAATAGAAGGAAAGGTGGTCGTTAAAGGAAAAATCACTGCATTCGAGGCTTAAATGGAAAAAGCACTCAAGTAAGGTCAGTTAGCGACCAATTGGCTGGTTCATTTCATCCTTCTTAAAAACATAAAGCCACATTAAAATACATTATATGTTTATTTAAAAAAAACATAAAGCCACGAATTACATGAGGAATCTTTGACTTATATGGAAAATATATCAGCATTCATGGGCTGACTCAGTCAGCAGAGCATGCAACTCAGGATATCAGGGTTGTGAGTTCAAGCCCTATGTTGGGTATAGAGATGACTTAAAAATAAAGTCTTTTAAAAATAGAAATAAAATATATCCGTGTTCACCTCATCTTCGAACTCACTAAATGAAATTCAACCTGACAGATTTATTTCATAACAATACGATGAAGTCACCCATTTTAAGTGCACATATGCAACCAGTTGTTGGCAATAGAGACAAAATTCTTAAAATTGCATCACGCAACACTTGCTGAGAAAAATGCTAGCAAGAGTTCTGGTCTAAAATATCCGAACAAACCAGTTCAGAAGGAGGGATCCAGTAGAGTGAACATCATCTCCTAACCACATTGCAGACCCACATGGGGTATGCCATTCCATTCACAAGGCTCTTAAGACTAGAAGCAGGCCAAGAGAGGCCTAATGACTAAGTTAAATCCTTGCTTATTTTGTTTTTTCTCAAAAGTTCTTTTCTTCCCTTTCTGATACACCTATCACATCAGAGCAGTCATTGTATTTAACTCTAGTGCTATTTCCAGAGAAGATAATCTAGAAAAATATCTTATTTAAAAAGGAAGAAAACCATCTTCTGCTTTTGAGACAGTTTTGAGTTATTTAATTAGTCCTAACCTAATTTGGGAAATGATGTGCTTTCATAACACTTCTTTAGGCTTCAGAAAT